GCCAATTTTCACTTACAGTATCAGAGACATTGCTTATTAAACAAATGTAAACCAATACAATGCAAGCAAAAACGATCTTTTTATAAAGAGATTGATGTTATACGAGGAAAACAAGCCAATATCTACAAAAGCCAATTTCCACCAAACACAATTAGACATTCATGAACTTGGAACCCTTAAAAATGACGTTTGCAAAAAAAAGGTTATGCGATTTCCCAACCCCGGAACGAATATTAGTCAAGACGTGACCAACTTCATTTTGAAGTCGAACTGTCAGTCAAGATCGAGCGAAGTGGACCATCTACCAGGACTAAACGYAATAAAATTTCCTTACGGCGACTTGACTGCGTGATTGGTGATGTTTGAGAAGTCAAATAGGTCGGGACAATCTTAATTGTCCCCATGTACTAGAATTAATGCGAAATGAAAAAAAGGATAACCAAGAGTCGTTATGTCTCTGCTTTTCGATTTCTCCAATAATTAGGCCACGCCTAGCTGATTAGAATGAATTACTGTAATGTGACAATGCAAGTCACTGTTTCATGTAAAAGTGATAACAMTAAATATTGAAAACAAAACAAAATACCGATAGTGTTTGGTATTTATATTTATCAAAAGCGCCTATTCGTCGAWCGYTAGMRAAACCTCGCTCTATGTTTTTCTAKAGTTCATCTTTTAATTAGGAAATTAGGGAAGAATACACAATTTTCGAAAAATTTAATAGTTTTGCCGTAGCCAAGGTCACAAAGACGCAAAATCGTTTAAAAAAACACAAAATAAACAAAATTAGRGAAGAAGAAACATGAGATAGGGCTTCCCGCAATCATGACAAGATCATTGCTAGCTGTTTTATGTGCGCCAATTAGAAAACACCCTTTAAATTAAAGTAATAGCAAGAAAATTAATTGAATATTACGCTYAATAAAAGTAAATGTCAGGTTAGGTAAATGCCGAGATTCTAGTGATATTTTGTGGCATAAATACAGTACACCACAATTTCAAAATCGTGTGTTATAATCACATTATTCCATGGTATTGCGAGTTCACAACCAATCAGATATCAGTATTTTATGTTATAAGTAGAATTTGAATTGCTTAAGTTGGTTAAAAACCTAAATGAAAGATTTATTAAGGATTTAATGTGTGATTTACTCGAAAGTCAAGCCGAGTCGATAGTATGGTTAAAAGTGATTGAGTAATTATAAAATCTGAATACTGGGACAATGTTTACGCCGTAGTAATATATGTTGTCATTGYACCTTCCTTCTTCGTAATTACTTGGATTTTTTCTGCAACCTCTCTCCGGAAAAAAAAACTAATTTTTTCTCCGAGAAGGCTTTTCTGCCTATACTCTAGTTAACCGCAAATTCACTAAATCTTGAAAAAGCGTTTTGATTCCTGAGAGCTGCAAAACAGATACCATCTCATCTTAATAGTTACAATTTACATTAATTGCTGTTTTTGTTTGTGACAAATTTAGCAATTTAAATTAGCATTTGTTTCACCGATAGACAGAGTTAAAGTGGAAGCTTGCTGCACAAGAGCGACCTTCAAGACAGAACCAAAATGAACCGACGAAGCCAAAAGGATTTGACGGCATGATTTAGGATCTTTGGAAACAGTGCACTAACAACAACAGTTTACTCTACTATAATTGCAACGTGAAAGGTAAGGGCCTATGCATCAATCTGCCCAAAAATAGAAAAAAAAGGATCAATACATTCTCTCACTTTTTCAAGTAAAAAAAAAAACAGAAAACATTTGATATACCGTAGATTTGCCAGTAAGCAAAACAAAATACAATCACTCCGTGTGATCTTGCGTCGTGGCAAACACAATCTTSAATCAATTTTGTACTTTCTTTTTTGTACTCAATGTTTTCACCTCATAAATCTTAGAATATATCTTTAGTATTTCCGAAAGCGTCAAAAGTAATTGTAACTCTAGTATTAATAAAGAAAACATCGTGTTTGCTTTGAAATACATCTAATTGCACCAAGACCACAACTTAATATATGACTTTTTGGCATTATAAACTTGGTTACGTTTGATTATAATAATTTTTCTAACATTTTTTTTTTGGTTTTTCTCCTTTACTGATTTTAATTAAGCCGCCGTTACTATTATTTGTCAGATTCGTAATATCTGGTGATGAAAATATGTTCTCAAAACAAGCGACTGTAATTTTCGCTTTCTCTGACTAACTAATATGAATCATCATATAGCCGCTTTGGTTGTCGGCTCGGTTTTTTACCGCCATTATTACGACCGGATAGAACTGGATACGTTTTTCGGACAGTTTATAGGTCTAGTCTCTCAAATTATACATATATCAAATGACGATTTGTCGGCAGGAATATCACCCGAATAGGCGCAATTAATTACGATACAAAGCCCGCGAGCGCCAAGGATTTATATTGTTTTTCAATAAGTTAATTGCCGGCTCTATGATTAGCTTTAAACCCCGAATGTCAGTGAGAATATTGTCTTTGATATATGAGATCTACAAGTGATACTTTGAAAGCAGCGGTAATATTCAAGTGAGTAGTTGTTTTGCACGAAAGTAAAAGGTCCGCGCAGCGTGAAAAGATAACAGTCGATTCCCACCATTTTTAGTCGGGCTGACAGCAGCATCGAACATGTCGATTCACTAATAAACAGTCCTCTGTTTAGCATATCACGCAGCCACATAGAAATCTATCTTTTTTAAGTGTGCAAACAATAAAAGCGCGAAAAGTATTAACTAAATAGTGCTAAWATAGCGCAATATTATATATTATAGAGTGCTTTTAGTTCAAGCGTGAAACATTAGTAATAATATTCTATGGTATTCCTTTGTTCAACTARCACTATTTTGCACAATTTAGTAATTAGTATTTCACGCTTTTACTGAAACCACTCATTATTAAATATTCACACAATTCAGTACAAATTTAGCACTCTTTCTTAATTACTACGTTTTCACTTTTTTAGCATTTTTTACTCTGCTACGCGTATTTTTGTTGTAAAATGGACCTCTCGGTTAAAGGGCCACACTATAATAAGACTTATCAGGGTGTGGTCATATTCTTAATTCCGATACCAATCCATTTATGGGTAAAAATATATAAAATAATCAAAAGCTCGAGTGTAAACAATAAATTTGTGGAAAAGTATTAACTAAATAGTGCTACAATAGCTAGAGTACAAACACTAAAACTGTGCAACATACTCTAGGGTAATATATKGCAGATTAGTCAATAGAAAACAAAGGAATTAATTTAATAACTTTACTGTTTCACGGTTTTAGAGAGCACAAAGACTAAAGTCATGAAATAAGGACCTTTTTCTTAGCTTGTATAACGGCCCTAAGGGGATTGGAGAAAGGGAGAGGGGAAGGGAGGAAGGAGAGGGGAGAGGAGGGCCCTAGAGTACCCTTCGTGATTTTGCTTTAAATGTTTATAGTTTCGATCTGCAGTTATCTCGCATCTGACGTCAACCACAGAATTACTTATTTAGGTATGCTAAATGACCGGTCGATTAGATATCGAAAATCAATCAATAAATAATGATAAATAAACATTGGCGGGTTCAAACCATGAAAGATGGGAGTTSAGGCCTCGCCTTTGCGAGTTGAATATTTGATTGGGTAAATTTCGTGAATTAGTCAGGAGCTGTGGAAACGAGAAGCACAAATAACGTTATGWGATCTAGTCTAAGTTTGCCGCTAAGGAGAAAAAATAGGTATCAACAAGATCTCTAYCATAGGGAACTTGTAAATTGTTAGAGCCGAACATCATCCTAATATATAAACCCAGATAGATTTTCCGTGAGTGAGAACCAGTTTACAAACAGCCAGTTTACAAGTCAGATAACATGCCCATTTTGTCATGAACGGTCAGAGAATTGGATCGAATCACAAAGGGGAGAGACCGCAGTGTTAGAATCTGWGAATGATCTAAAAGCCACAGTAGGGGCTGTACGCAAATCACGGATAATGAATGCTTGCTGCAATGTGAAATATTTAGAACATTAATGAGAAGGCGACGCGAACTAACCCAATCAAGAAAAAGAGGTGAAAAAGAGTTATCTGTTAATTTAATTCCTTGAGATTGGCTGTGCGCTGGATACTTCGTGCCCTTATCATTCTACGTTTTTCAGGTCGTTACAATTTCTTAATTACGCCGACAAAATTTCATTTCATTTTTTCGTCGCCGAATTACTATATTGAATACGAAGTCTTTTCATTTATTCACTATGTGATGTAATGATATGAAAATATTTACCAAAATTTAATAACAATGTAGCTGATGAGTTAAGTTTCATTCAAATTAAAGCGTATCTTTTCAGATTTTTGGGAAAATACAACATAGATAACATTATTTTTTGGTCGCGTCCTAGTAGATAAGCTGAAACCTAYCAAGGCTGTGTTCTTTGAGACGCGTTTAAAAAAACATATCTKGTWACCGTATCTTATGATAACATCTTTTCATTCATATTTTAAAAAGTCGAAACATAATTGCTGTGAAAAGTGATAAAATTTTAGGGACAATTTTAAGTAATCCGTTAGTCGATGTGTGTAAAAAAGAAAACACAATTCTTAACAAAGCACGGCATTTTTTAATTTAGCTTCAGGCTTATGAAAATATTGCTTTGAACCAAAATTAACCTTTTTTTCTTTAATACAAAAACAAAAGAAGATTCTGAAAAGTAACTTCAATTGGTAACAAATAAATAAAATTCATATTCATAAGTTATTTCATTGTAAAATTAACTCAGCAAACTGCAAAAAAAAAAAATCAAAATTACAGTTTACAAACGCAAATTRTAGTGAGTACCGTAGCTGTAATCAAGCAATGTAGTTTTACCAACAATAACTTGATTTGTATGTCGTAATTTAGCTTTTAGCACTTCCTCCGCCTTGTGGCACCTGGAATCTTTGATACAATACATATTTAATGACAGTTTACATGCAGAAATTTATACTACCAGAAGCTCATGGCATTATTTACCATGTACTGATATGTATGCGTTTCATGCTCACTGCGGGAACAATTATTGCTATTCTGAAACTTTCAAGACGCGGGCCGAAGTTGTACGAGAGTCTAATCTCTGATTATCAACTCAGCAAAATTTGAGAGATAAACGGCGATGTATCGCGAGTATGTATGAATTATACTACATTTTCCTATAGAGAAACACGTCTCGATATTATTATCCCAAGGGTTTGCCTGCAGGGGGTTTCTTTAGAACAGTAGATTTATTCATATTTTATCAATCAAGAAAAAACTACGTTGWATTGTTTATTGCAGATACTTGAGTGAATATTGGAAGTACTTGCTACGGCATTGAGATACTTGTCATCTGTGGTTTGTTCGTCTACTTGTCTGCCTGACCACGTTTTGTTGAATGCTTCCTCACACACAACTTCGTCGTCTAAACCTTAATTCCACTGGTCTTCCATTTCACTAATGAAAGTGTATATTAGTTGGGAAACTACGTTCAGGCTAACGTTGATGCTATGCGCTTTTATGCCATCCAAAACCTTACTTTCAGATTCAAAAGCAGTGTTTAAAGTTGTTGTTCTGTACGACTGGGAGATCCCGGGAGGAAAAGAGAAGATTGCTTCTAGTATAAACATTCAAAACATCACAAGATTCTCAGTTGTAAATTCCAAAAAGTTTACTGTGAAGATCATTGTTCATTCTCTCAAGGACCTAAGTCCGACACAAGTCGATGCATTTTTTTGTGAAAATATTATACACGAAGAAGTTTCAGCCATTGCTTTGCACACCAAACAACCGAACCTCACCAGATACCTCGCATATCTAGCGTCATATTTCTGGATTCCCTGTATTGGAAGTATAACAGATGATCAAGTATTATCACACAAGGTTTGTACAATGTAAACAATATGGCTTTATTATTTTTGTAATCTGTACTTGTTAAATTCTAATCTAGCCAACACAAAAAGATTCGACACCTTAAAAATCCTGCAAAAAGTATATATAAAAGGTGATAAATCCGTTATCGATAACACAAAATTCGGTATCCTGCAACAAACTTCGAGAGTTAAAGGAACAATTTCGCGCAAAATGTCAAAATTCATTGGTTATGAGTTTGTTGTTAAATGTGATCATAAACATTGTGGTTTTGTTTCGCCGGTACAGTACATGCGGTTTCAAAGTGTCATGATATGTCAAGTATATGCGGTTWTAGGAAAACATGGTAATCTTTAAAATGTTGRGTTTCTGTTTCAAGGGGTAAGGCCATAAAAGTTGATATTGACACTGGGAGTATCATCAGTAATGTTAGTCGACGCGTGGTGAATTATTCAACCTTTCCAGCTGCGCCTCAAATCAATCGGTTGATTCTTTAATATATTTTCTTTCTTAGTAAATAGTACTGCAATAAATGTTTCAGAATGCTAGCTACAACATTTTAATTGAGCTTTATTTCTCAATACCTTCACGACAATTATCRCTTCTACGCTTTGRCATGCTGTGTAGGATATTTATGCAGCGTTCAGTGTTGATAATTCACTGTTTGTAAAATATTGAATAAAAAAATCCAATCGAAAATCATTGAAACTTCGAGGATCAATTTACTTATGAAGCTGACGAGTTATTTCTGAGTTACCCACACTTAGACACATAACTTACAGAACCATTTATCAAATCTTTTTTTTTTTTTAACTACTTCTAGTTTTTTACCCCAAACCAAGACCTTCAATTGGATGACAATATCGACTTCTAAAGACGATCATTTTTACCGCTTTTTAAATGGTCTAGAAGACATTTATTTCTAGCTAGCAATTAGTTTAATTTTTCGTTGTCGCATCGGTAGATTAATGCGGCATGCAATCGATCCCGATTTCACTGCAATTTGCACCGAATGGATCCTTTTTATTCATGTGCACTTTTCATTTGATATCTCAATATTTTATTCTAAGTTATTTCATCTCTATTAAACACCATTAACATAGTTTTTCAACGTCGAACGTGTTTAAAGTGAGAGTGATTTGCACATTTGTGAATATCAAATTCACACCTCTTGACATTATATACATCTCTTCGTTAATATTCCATTCAAACGTATACTTAAAAACAACAACAAAGACCTGTTAAATGGAAAATGAGACAGKACCAAAAACATCTGGTGACTTAACTACATTTTCTTTGAGTAGAGCATGAGTAGAGAGTCTATAACACCCAAAATCATTTAAATAATAGGCTTATATAATCGTTTTTCTTTCAAATGTGTTTAGAACAAATTCAAAGCCAATTACTTTTCTGTCACTGATATGATTTACATTGACTAAGACATTTATTCCATACTTGTATCTTTATTATTTTAAAAGTATACATAAAAAATTGTTTATTTTTGAAGTATTTCTATGTGCGTCGAAGAGTATTCAAGCAATTTCCCTGCTATCTCCCAGAAGATTCCATCCGGGATGATACAGCTTGGCCAGTCTTTCAAATACTGGGACTTTTTTTATCTGATGTTATATAGTTTGATCGGCCTAACCAATTCAATCTGCATTAGTTAACTGACATGCAATTTCTGATGAAATCTAAAGAATGAATTACCAGTTGCTTTAGTTCTTGAATGGAGACGAATTGTCAAGAGAAACATACTGTAAATAACACAATAACTATCTAAACAAAAAAACACAACTTCCTGAACCTCCAAGAAAAACTGACTCTCGAATTCTCGTTACAAAATAYGCAGTATATATGATACTTTCATCTTCACTAAGGAATCTTTTTTTTACAGTACTACAAAATGGAAATGCGGTTWGCTACTGCTTGTATCCTGCTAAGAAGTCGCTAACAACCCGAGAATATGCGCGCGTTCCCATGGGGATGGTACTTTTTAAGAGGAATGTTTGYTATATCGAGAATATTGGACTGACTGAAGCCCGATTATTTGATAATCCTGTATATAGTATAGTTAATAAAACTCTCGATAAAATAATTCCAAATGATGACAGAAAATCGCATAAAGGATTTTTCTACAAAGTGTAGTATGATATGTAAGTAAAAGAGTAKKTGGCATGTCAGGACCTATACATGAATAGTTAAGTTACCAAATGAGCAAATAAAAAAAAAATCCTACAGAAACTTTTGAGATATTGGTATCAAAAAGACTATATYTTTAAAGAAATCAAGTGCTCAAAATTATATTTAAATCAATTCTGATGGTTTTCAAGTGGTCGGAAACGGTCAATCTTTAAAACTGAATTAATACTGAGAAATTGACGTTTAGACATCATAAAATTGACAACAGCAGTGTGTTTTGTACTATTGCGCTTGCACGAATTCTAATCTCTCCCCCTCWAAGTATCTTACAATCTTATCTCACTTAAGGTGTGGAACATCTTACCAAAGTGAAGACAAGACCGGTTTCAAAACAGAATTGTAAATAAACAATATCGTACCAATGCTTCGAGTAACTTCTAGAATAACTTCGATCTTCCGTTCTTTGAWAGTGTTTTACACATTTTAATTCTTATAGCACATTAAATATAGTATCCTTTTCAAAAATAATGATATGTTACTGATATATATATATACTGACAAGCACGTAAATATTATTTTTATTTTCACTTAAGTGGGGTCTTCAAGTCAGTTGGGTGCATTTCTTTCTCATCAATAAAGATCTAACGTCTATTTATTTATATATTTACATGCGTCATGCCCAGCATGTTTAGATCAACGCTCTTTACCACTTTATTCAAACAGCTATTAAGTCGTAGGCGGAACAGTCTTACATCGTGCATTACCTATAATACACCAGTCAATGAAACCACGGTACTCAACCCCCTGGAAGTGCGGGGAAATAAAACATTTCAACAATGTAAAGGATATTTCCTGGTAAATATGACGAAAAAAAGGCGTCTAAAAGATCATTTCCTTTAATTTATACGTCAATTCCTCCCCTCCTCGCGGATTGTTTAAACGGTGTTTTAAAAATCCCGGGCTATATAATTAGTTAATTCCACGACCCTCCCTAGGGTTGGGTGAYRGGGCTTTCAATTAACTAGTGCTTTTAGTGAAATTGACGTAATATGAATAGTAATTTCTATGTAACACTAGTTCTAGCAMWCATGTCTCGTTCACTTATATTTGCGGCAATTAAACATTTCACATTTCACACTAATTTGCCTAATTCAGTTTGCAAACCATATCACGAATACATGGAATGTACTCCTTGAGATAACCAAATAGTACTTAGGGCGACATAATAGAGTGAGATCTTAAAAGCCCGTGAAACAAAACTTGACTGCTAAATTGTGATAGTCAAATAGACACAGAACGAAACAATGAAACGAGGACGTACAAAGGTGTATTAGTGTAATATCTGTTTCACGGTTTTTTTTTTAACTTCTTTCTCTGATTCTATCAAATGAGCCTCTCGAATATAAATAAAAATATCTTCCAATAATAGATCCTTGATTTTCATTCTTTGATCATTTGTGATTTCCAGGATGTTTATAGGTCATTTCTTCGCACTACCCCGTCAGAGATGCAGCAGTTCCAGGTCTTCCTGGACTTCCTGGCATATACTGGAAACTCACAAGCGTTTGTGATTGTCAGCGATGACACTTCACATGGACATGCACTGGAATTCTTTTCCAGGAACGATTACTATTCAATCACAGTTGTAAGAGTTAACGGAGATTCAACAAAACAGCCTGAAATCGTCCGCACTTTAATGCGTATCAAGGGAAGTCTCTCTAATGTCGTCTTTCTGTACTGTGACGCCCAAGTTGCGAAGCTGATACTATGGACCGCCAAAGACTTCAGAATGTATAGAAAAGATTCCTTTTGGATTGTTTCTGAAAATGTTGTACTGGATATTGATCACCTGTACATGTTGCCAAGCAGGATTTATGGGTTTATATCAGAGGGTCATCGGTCTGTTGACCAGTTCTTTATGGAAAGACTTGAGGACACATTTGTACTATTTCACCATGCTTTGTCTTCGAGTAATGATGAGGAACTAAAAACGTTTGCGCGAAAGCCAGAAAACTGCACCGAAATGCACGAGTGGCAAAATGGTAAAGAGCTATACAGGTAAACTAGAAATCAGAGTTCGTTTTCAGCAACTTATAATAATCTTTATAATATCACATCTCCAAACATGTGTTCATAATACGGTGAATCAAAATGTTGCAGATATTGTCGTTAACGACAAACGGATGATGAAGGATTGCAATAATTTCGATCTAACAACCTCAAATTTATTGATTTTTCTGTGAGTAAGTTGTTATAGCGAACATTGAGATGAGTTTTTTTCCATCTCTACCAAAAAGTTGTGTCTTTTAAACAAATACATTAATTTATCATATGATTATCTTTGAAACTGTGTGAAAATAAGTGAAACTAGTGAAAATAAAAAATCCGAGGCTTCTCTATAAAATAGAAGTAGTAAAAAAGGTATTTTACGACATAGTTTGCTTTCGTATGTAATTATATGATAAACAGAATATTGCATGGTCGCTTGGAGATACGAATTTTATCTTCTCGTGTTCAAGATCTTTCAACACTAGAAGATAAAATCCGTATTATCGCGCGCCCATGTAATATTCTCTATTTAGTATATACACTAACTGATAAATAGTCAACGTAAATATCCATGTAATTCTCAACATTGTTTACAGAAAACTTGTAACCGCATCAGTTCCTGACGCACACATCAAGCTCAATTCCCAAGGAGATCGAGTCAATTTTACTCATGACATCTTGTACCTTCTTGAAGCTGTGAACTACGAAAAACACTGGTCTACAACAGGCAAATGGGTCAATGGTAGGTTAACGCTAAAATCAACCAAATTAACCACCTCTATTAAGTCAAGTCGAGTTGGCTTGCCAACGCTCCGCGCAGCCGTAGTAGAGTACCCGCCACTAACGATGAAAAGCAAGTATGATCCTACTATTGGTTGCACTCAGGGTATAAAATGTATCTCATACCACGATAACCTGAATTACACTCAGCATTGCTGTTATGGTTTAGCTATTGATATCCTAACATACGTAAAAGGTGAACTCGAGTTTGAACCCTTGGTGTATTTTGTACGAGATGGGAATTACGGAGCCAAGAATGTCACGTCGAACCAATGGAATGGTRTCGTGCGCGACCTTATCATCGGCGAGGCGGACATTTCTATTGATCTCATGACCAACGAAGCAAGATCTGAAGTTGTTGACTTCTCGCAAAGATGGACAGAAGCTGGTCTAGCGTTGTTAGTGCGTGTTGGTGAAAAGAAAGTACGGACAGTTGATTTCGCCTTTCTTGATCCCTTTACCATGGAGCTTTGGTTAGGGATGGTAGGAATAGTAAATATATATCTAATTGCCCTGTGGATAGCAGATAGATTCAGTCCATATGGATGTTACGCTGCAAGACAGCGTGATAATAAGGAAGACCAGATTTTTGACCTGGACGGTAGCATGTGGTACAGTTGGGGCGTTTGTTTTGATAATCAGTTTGTAGGTGATCGTCCAAGAAGTGGAAGTTCTAAGGCAATGGCGGTATGCCTGGCGATGTTTGCACTATTATGTCTTACATCGTACACAGCAAATCTAACGGCCCACTTGGTGTCAGATGATACAAAACCAGAAATTACTGGTATCAGAGATCCTAAGGTAAGTCAGTGGACGCAAAGCCAAATATACCATATTCCAGCAATTGGTATGGTACGAACTATGCCCACATGGTGCATAGCTATTGTGTGATAACATGGGTGATTCCCCCATGTAACAAAATGGTGTGCCGTTTTCGTAGCGTTTTTGCGTTATTTTTGTCCCCAAGGAATGAAAACAAGCAAACATAAATGAGTACTGGTATTTGAAATGTTGCTACATTGAATAAAGAAAAAAAAACTAAAAAATAAAGTGCATCCCTTTTGTGATTTGCTTTTGTTATCCTTTGAAAATATAAATACATAGTAAAACAAGCAAGAACTTAGTCTTTATGATCGCTTTAAGTGAGATATTCTCGGAAACTTGGAAAGCTTGGAAACTTATTTGACACAGCCACCTCATCAGTTTTTATTAAAGAGTTCTAAAAGAAAAATCTTGTTTGCAGTTCAACTGCAAACAAGATTTCGTTACCATTTCGGAAATGGTAACCGCATTTGCCCACTGCCACACAATTTGGTTTATCATATCTATTTTCTTTTTCATCAGATTACTGCCGAAGATTCCAAATTGACCTTTGGAGTTGTAAAGTCTAGTTTTGTTGATTCTTATTTCGAACTAAACAAAGATCCTGTGATGAAGTCATTGTTTGAAAGAATGTTGACAAGAAACCACCTCGTTAAAAACTTCACTGACGGCGTTAAAAGAGTAAATCGCAGGTATGACTAACATCCATAAATCGTTTTCATAAATAACTTTTGGGTAAAAAACATTTTTCGATCATTAATCGAATTAGTGGATGGACAAACTCCTTCCAATGTCATCAAACATGTTTGATGTTTAATATAACTACAACCAACAAAACATAAACTCTTTTTGTGTCCTTTTTGCTGTGTGTGCGTGAGTGGTTTAACTGAGAAAGATCAAAGACCCCGATAAATGTAGCTGGCGCTATTACTGTAGAGCCTGTGCGTGATTTTCTCACATACGAAATAATATTCGCTAACTTTGATTTTGAGACAGTCAGAAAGCAACTCTCAACGAGTGATCATTTGTCAGACGAAACAAACGACCGCAAAGGTTCTCGGTTACACATGGGTCTTTGATACAAGTTGGCGACGTCTTTTAACAATATTTCAACAATATTTCTAATCCAGTATTATCGTTTGCAGTGAACTTGACATCTTCATCAGTGAGATTCTGTCTCTAGACTACGAGGTCGCTAAACAACGACATAAAGATTACCCAAGATTACAAGTTGTGGGTGCGGCCAAAACGTTTGCCGACACTGGCTATTCTTATAGCTTTAGAAAGAACTCCACATGGAAACCTAAGTTTGATTTGGTTATTAATAAAATGAAGGCAGAAAACAAGTAAGTGACAAAAGATGTCATAGTTCTAGTTCAAATCATTTTATGTACACATTTCAATGCATTTTATTCCGTGTATTTCAGCTACAGGGTGTTCGTAATGTTAATGAAAAATGAGAAGAATAGACAATACATGTGGTAGACCCTTATGCCGCCGCCCGTTACATTGAAATAAACTCTCAAACGTTCATTCAAACAAAATACCTGTTGCGAAGTACATCAAAGCAGAGACCGAAAGTATACTCGAAAATTTGAATATTTGCCTGAAACTTCTGGTAGATAAGCCTATGATAATTAAGTGCACACAGCATTTGAGAACACTCACTAATTATATACTTATCATTCCATTCCCATGCTTCCTTTCGGTCCTACAAATTTCTTAGGTGAATCTATTTTTTCTTAAATTATGTTATTTCAAATAATAACCCCGCACATTTGCCAAACATAAGCAGGCGAGGAAACGTATACAGATATTTTAATCAGTTCATTTAATTAAGTGAAGTATATACTTCAATATTTCAGGCGTCATTTGGCCTGAGCTTTCGTTGAAAAAAAAAAACAAAGGGTTTCTTGGCTGTGCGCCGACTTAACTTAAATGATGCCGCAAAGACATTTAACGCTATGTTTGAGTCCTAGCATTTTTGTACTTTCACTGCTTCTAATTAAGTCTGTTCTTTCATTGTTTTCAGACCAAGTGAGCTTTACAAGAAGTGGGTTCGAGCAGGGAAAAAGTTAACAGAAGACATACATGACTCACTCACTTTCCAATCWTTAAGCGGTGTRTTCATCGTTGGMATTGCTTTAGCTATATTAGCTTTTATCTTTCTTATTTTGGAAAACAAGTTATTTAGCATGGGTTTTATCTATAAAAATTTAAGCATGTTTGGGAACGGAGAGACGTACGAACGAGGACGTAGACGATTTTCTGTTGAAGTCCATCGAAAACTTTTAGAAAGGAGAAAGCCGGATTCAGTAAACAATGGAAGTATAGAGCTTCCAGATATATCGAACTATCTTGAGAGAACAAGAAAGACTCGAGCTTCATTGCATGGACTTTATAATCCATCAAGAACGAAACCTCTGCAACCAGGAGACAGAGCGAGCACTGTAACGCCGACAGATTCTGTAATATGTTGACAACCCTGCATGCTGTGAGACGTAAACTATATTTTTCCGTTAAAGAAACAATAWACAGACAAAAGAAAACAAATACTAGTTTCATTGAAAAAGAAAYTTGGTAAATACAGTATCCCGCGAATTGACCAATGAAAGCGCATATTCGACCGTTGCTATGCGTCTATCCTATATATAGTACGTCATAGCTATTAATACATAATCGTCAAAATTATATAGAAACATCGAGGCAATTCCGGTACGTAAAACAGAGAAAAGCATGGTCAAATAACATTCTATACAGTGTGTAAAGAGTTTACTTAAGTGTAAAGAGCAAAGTATGAATAAAATTCAAATACTGATTTTTGT